TTTCAAGTTTATTTTCTAAGGGGCTGTTTATATATATGGTCCCGCTTACCCAGGATTCAATGAACTGTGAAGTATTTTGAGCAATTGAAATAAGCCGCACTTCATATAACTTCTAGCGCGTTCCTAATTTCGTTTAATTAAACAATATTTAAAGTTATCTAACTTTTGTTTAGGGCTGAAAAACGTATTTCGATTGCTCAAAATAATTGTACATAGTACATCCTTGATAGAAAGCGAAATTCTTTAGCCTACTGGAGGGGCGAAAAAAGTTACACAATAAAAGCTATTTCAAGACGTTGTTTGAAATAGTTGAAATGTCGGTGAATTGTTCTGTCGGCCTAATGTCTTGTCGGCCAAGTGTCCTGTCGGCTAAAATGTCTTGTCGGCCAAATATCCTGTAGGCTAAATGTCTGTCAGTGCATGAAAGGTCCTGGCGATCAAACGTATGTCGGTCTAGTGTCTGTCGGCCAAACGTCCGCGCACCGATAACCTCAAATCATCTTCACTAGACTTGCTTTAATTATGTCGACCTCTATCTAGTAAGTTTGGTCGAGCAACGAAGTCGTGAGCGAACTGACCGGGCGAGCGCGAACGATGTCCACATTCTTTGCTCAAAAATTCCTTCTTATTAATTTAACATATCTTCACCATCCAACAAACCTTCCCTGCACAATCATCTGACTAAACCTTACACACGACAACCACCCAACGATGCGACAAACCTCACACCATCTGACAAGACCCATAACCTCACACCATCTGACAAAACAAAGAACGATCAAGAATCCCAGTCACCCAGGATCAAAGCTGACAACCCTGACGATGTCACCTCCATGTTTAACAGCTACTTTGCATCAGTATTTGACTCTGATGACTCCTTGAGGGAAGAAACCAGTCTCATACTCAAGACATCCTGTCTTGTCTGAGATCATTCTGACAGTTGAGGATCAAGCAGTTCTTGAAACATTGGATGTTACAGAAGCCACAGGACCTGACAACGTCCCAGCCCGTCTGCTTAAAGAAACAGCTCTTGTTATTTCAACGTCGCCAACATAATTCCTGTGTACAAGAAAGGTGAAAAGGAATATGCTGAAAACTACCGGCCAATGTCACTCCTTTCAATTGGGTCGAACGTTTTGGGACGCTGTATGCATGCGTCTTTTATAACCGATCAGGGAGTAGCTGTACCAGGTAATTAAGACTTCGCAGCACGGATTCATTAGAGGAAAATCATGCGTGGCCAATCTTCTCGAAGTTCTCAACTATATTGGCTCGATTTTGGATGTTGGAGTTCAAGTCGATGCTGTGTATCTTGACATGTCTAAGGCGTTTTTAAGGTAAACCATTCTAAACATCTGTTGCACAAATTACGGATGGCTGGATTTGGAGGTAGTGTCTTGCAGTGGTTTCAATCTTACCTAAGCAATATTACCACCATGCAACGTGTAACTGCACAAGGTTTAGCCTGCGAACAGGCACGAGGTTCCACCTCTACTACCCTGTCAGTTTCATCAGGTGTGCCTCAAGGGTCCATCTTCAGTCCAGTTGTCAACGACCTTCCAGATACAGTTACATCTACTGTAGTCGCACCTTACAGTAGACTTGCCCACAAGTCGATCTCGAATAAAACCTTACAGTTACATTACAATTTACTTCGGCACCTGGCAGACCATCCCTGTACAATTATCTGACACGACCTAAGTCACCTAACCATGACAATGTGACACGACCCAAGTCACCCGACCTTACATACCCGCAATCAGACAGACGTGCTCCGGATGCTCCGTCTACCATCTGACACGACACCCACCTGACGTCACGACCTGGGTTGACAAAGGTTCGGTCACACGGAGCGACAAGTCGCAGGGGCATGTTGCAGGGACATGTCGCCCGAAACGAGTCACACGAAGCAACAGTGCTAGGCGAAAACAAGTCGCACAAGCGCTTACAGACGCGTGGTCACACGAGGCTACAATTCATGCGACAAGTCAAAGAACTCCCATGAGGACTTATATTGAAATTGAGCGTGCAAGTAGTCATGGGAATGATATTTTGTGATTGGTCGGACTAATTATTTCCCCGCGACTTGTGAACAGACTAGCTCACACGATGCAACAAGTCGCGGCAACGGTTTTTGTCCCCGCGACACGTCGCATGAAATTTGATTTCATGCGACATGTCGCGGGGACAATTTTTTGTCCCCGCGACAACGCTTCCACATGTGACACACGATGAAATTTGACCCCGCGACATGTCCCTGCAACATGCCCCTGCGACTTGTCGCTCCGTGTGACCCCGAACCTATTCATGACCTTTTGATTTCGATTACGACAGATTAGGCCAATACGTTGCTAGGTGTCGTGATGATCATTCATTGCATAAATAACCCATTCGAACGCGCCGTGACATAACTGACAATCATGACATTGATTGTCTCTCGCAGTCTCGCCGGGATTCGGTGTCAAATTATTAACGCTGTTTTGCGGTATTGTTTTACATCAGTACAGCATTGATTGTGGACTGTGTAAATCGTGAGTGCTAATATTAGCCGTATTTATACTTTGATAATTCCTACTTGACTTACATGAGGATTGCATTTAACATTTCAAGTGTGTCATTATTAAAGAGGGATGTTGATATAAATATAAGTATGGCGATGTAAACATTGGAAGTGATCTGTTTCTTTCTTGCTACAGCCTACAGGGACACAGATTGCTATGACTGGCTTAAATTTGGACAATTTGAGTGCACAATTCAAAGTTTACTTGTTTATATTACATACTGTCGTCCTTGGATGGATTGTACATATTCTTACGAACGTGTTTCATAAATATATATCAGAATCGAATAATAAATATGTCGCCAATATTACAAAGGATTCTCCATCTGTCCGCATCGTGCATGTTGATGACAAGCGTGTGACAGTGGAATCATGTCACTGGCTCAATTCTATATTAAATTGGCTATATATGAATGCTTCAAACACTCCAGATCTAGTCAAAATTTGGTTGACTATGCTGAATGAAAAGTTGAAAACTGATCAGGTACATTTAATATGTTTTCATATTTAGTTTTCAAGTACTTGCTAGTGGAATACTTCAACAGTCGGGTTGAATTTCAGGCAGAAATTTAACCTCACTGCCTATGGTTATTATCTGATGCATCATATACATGCCTGTATTTATGTCAACTCCAACAAAATCTAATGCCATCAAAATATTATGCACCAGTCAAAGTAATCCCGACCCCCACTCAGACCATGAGGGGATTTGGTGGGGATTTAGTGGCTTTTTGCCATCAAATTCTGTCCCAACCATGTTGGGAATTTGTTGGTTTTGTCATTCTGCCTAATTTGTGCCGGGAAGATGTAGGTGGGGATTGTCAGCAGCCGGCATTTTATACCATTTTGTCCAACGGAATCCCCAGATTATACCATATGTGACAATAAAGGTCAAGATGGTGCGCTTGCAAGAAGGAAGTGAAATCGAGAGGTATTTTATAAATATAAGTTTGTTATAATTCACTAATTTTTAGTACACTATTTTAATGTTTTCATTATCCAGGAGATAAATTTGCTCACATGACTTACAATCCCCCCCCCCTGTTTTTTTTTTTCCTTTTGCTAGAAAATGTTGTCCCATATGGTGGGGCATTTGTCTGTTTTCGTATGTTATTCAAAACCAATCCCCACCTATATCCCGGGGGTGGGGGGTTGGGGCTATATGGGTTAATAATAGATCTATATATACATTTGTTAATTTATAAACCCATTTTGTTTGGAATGGGCTCTAATACATGCAGCCTGACTTTATTATATATATATTACCTCTAATCCCAGGTGATTTTACTCATTAAGGGCTCCCCCCCC